GCATATATGGAACAATCTAAACTCATATTGGTTTATGCATTTTATAAATGTAATAAGTATACAAAATTTAGTGCAATCACCGTGAGCACTCCTCTATATTCCATCATACAAACAGGAACATTAACCGATGTAGCAAAACTTTAATCTAGTAATTAGTAATATCTGGAGGGCTCTCTTGCCACCTAATGCAAGGTACAACTAAACCCTTTTGCAGTGCTCTTCTATAGAAAAGTATAAATTATATATACTAACAAAGTGCCTGTTTTTTTTCCTCATTCAGTAAATTCTCTTTTCCTTTGTTCTGAACAGTTTCTGTAAACCCCACCTCTGCATGAATATGTTTTTCAGCTGTGCGGTTTTAACATCTCCATTTACTTCCTCCATTTTTCTGTTCATCTCACCCACTCACTTTCCCACTTCTACTGGTGAACTCCATTCCAAAAGCACTTACACTGCCTTTTGTATGTGGCACACACTAATCCTATATAGCACACAATAGGAAAAAAAAAAGGCAACTGCTTTCGCTGAGGGGTTTGCTCTAGTACAATACAAGAACAGTTTAATTGCTAATACAAAGAAATGTATAAAGTTTTTTATATGTGACCGCATTATACAAATCCATACAGATATGATATCAGACAATGTGCAGAGGGCACTGTAACTTTAATAGATAGGTATCTTTATGATGTCAGTAATAAAAAAAACTTCATGTAGAATATGTGAAGGAGCACATCATTTATTTTGGCAAGGCATTGTAGCCTGTTGTCCTCCCATAATGCCATGATGCTGGCTGTGAATTCAAGAGTCATGCTGCTTTACATACATCAGAACCAAACACATTAATATTTTTACCATTAGGCTTTTATCAGAAATAGAGTAACGTTTAATACATGCTGTGATTGCTATGTATTTGAGAGTGCAAAATCAGTTTGGTGCCTTTAAAGAAGAACTCTGGGCAGAAAGAACGTTAACCCATGCAGTGGGGCTATCCCTGCATTACAAGGGTTAAGTGCTCATTTTTGTCTAGGGTGTAAAATAAAAAAAGACATACTCACTATGAAAATGAGCACTTCCTTCTTGCAGTGTGGGGGTAGCCCCACTGTAAAGATTAAGATTATTTCTGCTCAGAATTCTTCTTTAACTTAAAGAGACACTGTCATTAGGATACACGTATCCTAACAACAATGTCCTTTTAAAATACATGAGCTATTTATTCCAGTACCACCTCTGTTGAATGGAATCTTCACTTTCTTCCAGAGTTACAGGTGCCCCTGAGATCTGCAGTAGGGATGATGTTTGGTTTTGCTGCTACCATGGGTTGGAGATTCTCAGACCAGGTGAATTTATGTGCAGATTAACCATAGAAGATTTTTTTAAAAATCAAAATGCATTGCATGTCTTTTGAACTATGGTCAGCAGGCTTGGAAGGGTCAATAAGGGGGCTTTAGCTTAAGCCAGCCCCCTCACTATAAAAGAGCAGCCATTGAATTGGAAGCTGTTCTGGGGAAAGCTAATAAATGACATAGGGAGAGATTAGGGTCAGTTAGGAAACTGTACGCTAATTCTGATTGCTAGCTTTGTGAGCAATCAACCCATTTGCTGCCTTTTTTCTTATTATTGGGGACATTTTTTTCATTTTATTTTGTGGTTGATTTGAGGTCAGCGGTCACATTTAGCTGTTGTCCTGTCTAGCAATCCTTTCTTTTTGGCTGCACAAAAATATTATGTTTGTTTGTGGTATTCTGGGGTTTGATTTATTTGTGGGTATGTTAGTTTTTATTTTTATGCTTATAGGGTCTTTTTTTGGCGTGCTCAAAGTGGAGCATTTATTCATTACTGACCATATGTTCCCAGAGCTGCATATTATTAGCATAACACCACTACATCATTTGAAAGTGCAAGAACAACTAAGGGGGTCTATTCACGAAGCTGCCGAAGGATCTGGCCGTAGCTTCGGCCTATCCTTCGGCTAGCTTCGGCCCCAGGACCGGGATTCACAATAGCCCGTACAGCTCCCGATCATGGCCGAGCGGCTCAGCCGAGCCAAACGCATATGCATCGGCTCGGCTCGGCTGAGCCGTGCTGAA